CTGGATTTAATGACGGATTGACCTGAGTTGGGTCCTATGTGATAGCCCCCACGCTGAAACAACCGGATGTCGGCCGCTGAACAAATTAGAGATGAAGATGGATGCAGAAAGTGTTCGAGTTGGGGATGTGCCTATTCCATGCCAAAGAACCAGGAACGGCGGCGGCTTCCTGCCGGCCTACACGTGACCATAGTCCGAGGCTGTCCTTATTTCCGGACTGACGTCGCCAATTCGATAGCAATTACTTCTTGATGATCCTATTGTCTTCGTTTATTGTTGCTTGAACTCAGTTGGGCGCACCCTCCCGTGGCTCTTTTAATGAGCAATGTTTTCTCTGCCTTCTCAAAACCAAGCAGTCGTAGGCTATTTTGACAGCGATTGTTACATTTGGACAAAGGTGCGAAGAAGTTTCTCAGTCAATAGTTGATCGCGATCGCATCCGCGCTCAACTTATTGTTGAGCCCCTCTTTCCGCCATTATCGCCTTGGCTGGGTGGAGCTGCAACGGATTCCCTCCTGCGTCTTGACCGCCATACAAGGTCGCTTCCTTCGAAAGAGCAGAGGTCACGCACCTTTTCTTCTGCAGATCTGCATCGGCAGGAATTCCTGCTTTGCCCCAAAGGATGGCTTAAGAGGCTCACGGATCTCTATATTAAGCTGATATTGACCCCTCGGTATTTCCGTCATATGATGTGATCACACCGGAAAGCCACATGAGGGCATATCGGAAGCAATAGTAGGGCAGAGAAAATCTGACCGTGTCTGCGCTGATAAGCCTGTCGCCTTCACTTGCTGCGGCGCTTTCCACAAGCCTCTTTTATATCGCAAGCCCCTGTGAGCTCCCACTATCTGGCCCCGGTAGAAACAAGGAACAATCGCCAGTGTGTCTGAAACTACAGACACGAACCTTGAATCGGGTGACTTCAACCAACCGCAGAGCTAGCGAGGAATTCCCAGTATTGAAGTCCCAAAGCCAATGGCCGAGGTGACTGTTGGGTGCTATTATTCTCATGCCCGTCTCACAGCCAGAGCGTGTCGCTATAATAGGGGGTGGTTGCACGGGAATCACCTCGTTTTGGGCCTTGCAAAACTCCGGTCATGACGTCCACCTTTTCGAAGCCTCCGATGCCCTCGGCGGGCGTATCAAGTCACTGCCTTTCGAGCATGAGGGCATTCATACCAACGTGAATTCAGAATCATCTGTCTACAATGTTGAGGCTTCTCGTCAGTTTCATTTTCCCATGATGCCCTCTGCACAGGACTGATCTGCAATCCAGCAAACTTGGATTCATTACTGCGCTACCTGGGAGTGTCGACGATCAGACATCGATTTGGCGTCAGAGCAACTGACGGAGACCGCAATTCTTGGTGGAGTGACAGTATATTGCAAAGCATCCTTCTCCGGCCCTGGATCCTCTGCCGCAAGGAGACGTATGTGATACTGTCGGATATCATCTGGCTCAAGTTTATAGCCATCGACGTGCTGCGTAAGGATGTCTTGCCGTATAGGACCAGTAACATTGAGTCACTCCTCTCTGCCAAGAGATATCTTGCGAAAGAAGGATATTCTGCCAGCTTCCGTGATGAGTACCTAGCTCCAACACTTTCGGTTCTATGGGGCACAAATGCTGGTAAGGTCCTTTCACGGCTACCTATCGAAGCTGCTATCCGCTGTCTGTATGACCATCAGCTGCTTTGGCCGCGGCAGAATGTCCCGTGGCGTAGCATTGAACGGGGCGTAAGCCACCTAGTGCAGGCCCTTTCTCGCGACTTTGATCCTTCCAGGGTACATCTAGAGGCCAGAGTACGACGAGTGACCCGGTACGACAAGAAAGTCTACAGACTGGTTACTGCAGATGGCCGCGCGAGGGATTTCAATCGCATCATTTTCGCTGTCGATAGCGAAGAGATTATGCAGATATTGGGGCCTCTTGCGAGCGCGCAAGACAGGAAGATCATTGGGGGATTGGGCACAACGAAGAACATATCTGTGTTGCATTCGGACTCCCTCGTGGGTGAAGGCGTAAGATCCCCAGTACAATTCCTGGCAGGTGAGGGTTGGGGAAGCGCTGCTCACCAGTTGGGCCAGCTTCTGCTGGAAAGGGAGCATTCTACGACCGCCTACACCTATGTGCTGGAGCCCATCGTGCCTGAGCGCTCATCCGAGGACTCAACGCCCCGGAAATCTAGCCTCAGCTATAATGTTAATGCCTTGGACAGTGTTTCAGTGTCTCTTTACGGTCCGATATACATCACGCTGAACCCGATTATGCCCCCCCATCCTAGCATCGTGCAGAGTGTATGCGAATTCACCGAGCCAGATCCAAGCTTCAGCACACTACAGGCACAAAATGATCTTGCGCTCATTCAGAACAAACAAGGTTTAAGCTACGGATTCCGTTGGACGGGCCGTGGGCACCTCGAGGATGCCATCACTGCAGGCTTGCGGGTTGCGATTGAAGACTTGAACGCAGAAGTCCCTTTCCCAGTCGAATTCCATCCCATACCTTTCGCGGCGGACCTGCCCCGTCCAAGCCTGGGCCTCCCTATTCACATAATACGGACCCTACTCCGGCTACTTCAGCTTTTTGTCCTTGTTCTGAAACTGCTGATGCCCTTGCTGCCTGGACCGGCCTCGCGATTCATAGTTCGCCGCCATAGACACATATCGAGGCAGGAGCCTGGGAAGCCGTCATGACAAAGGGAATGATGGAAGATCTGCCCTCCTTGCCTCTCAGATTGAGTTGAGCTGCTTAGGAACAATAGACTGAATAGATCTCTTGCCGAGACTTGCGCTGGGTATACAGGTTATTGAGATATAGCTACATTTGACTGCTCTCTACAAGTTTCAGATCCATCTCACGATGACAGGCACGGTATGATAGGATGCCAGCTAAGTTTAGAAATTTAAATTTTTCATATGGATCGTTTCACTCCATCTGTCGGTCGAAGTACATAACAAAAGAAGAAAGACAAGGATTAGGCCAGACCCAAAAAAGCTCACGTTCATTAAACTCCGATCACAAAGGCACCACTCTGTTTGGATTATCTATTTCAGGAACTTGTCGTCGTCCTGGCTGACGATCAAAGCACTTCTCTTGGTATCGATGAAGAGATCTTCGACCTCAGCCACGTCGGCCTCTTCGATGCCACCCGGCCGGCCATTGACCCGGGCAAGGATGCTGGCAGGGGTCAATAATTGCAGGGCATAGCGCAAGCTGACCTTGCTGCCGTGCTCCGAAACCTTGTCCAAGGCCGGGTCGGTGATGGTGATGCCTTCCGTCTTCGCGCGCAGGCGAATGATGGTCTTGATCTCGTCGTGGGTGTAGGGGTGAGTGGGAATGATGAGGAGACGGGCGAGGAGGTCGGGAGGGATGCCGTGGGCGGCCGAGATATCGTCCGTGCCGCGGATGACGGTGTGGCCGCGGTTGGAGGCGAGGATGACGATGGGGGAGATGGTGGATTCGAGGGCCCGGTTGAGATACGTGAAGCATTCGATGTCGAGCATGTGGACCTGGGGGTTGTGTTGTTAGATATCTCGCGCGATTGCGGGATGATGAATTGGCGGGGAAATATAACAAACCTCGTCGATGAAAAGAACACCAGGGACAAGCTCGGCAACACCTTGGTCGATGTAGCGGTTGACGACCTTGTTGATCTCCTGGCGCAACTTGTCCGTGATCTCGGTCTTCTTGGGCTTCATCAGCTGGCCCATCATGCTCATCACGTCTTGTCCGCCTTGCGGCCGGGCGTTAGCCATATCGAGATCGTGTAGCGTCACGTCCTGGACGATTTCCTTCTTCTTGTGAACCTCGCCCTTGGGTACCGGGACGTACTCCTCCGCCTCCAGGTCGAACTCGGTCGCATATGCGTCGGAGCGTCCCACACGCTTGCAAGCGCCGGTGTTTGCTTCGATGTAGATAACGTCTCCGACCGTGACACGCTCCTTCTGGATGGCCTCGTAGATGCTGGGGTCCAGGCGCAGCTTCTTGGTGCCCTTGGCGGACTTCAGTCCGATGATCAAATGGCTGATCGTCCGTCCATATCCCCCCAATGGGTTCTCGGCCTCCTCGGGCGTGAGCTCCGTCACTTCGCCTTCGTACACTTCCTTGGTTTCGCGGACACGGAGACCTGTAGATGATTCTGCGTTAGCCGCGCGCATTCTTTGTCGCTTCTCCTTCCCGACCTGCAGCAGCAGTAATGGAATATTTACCAATTGCTCTCCGGAAATTCTCCATCAGCGCCTCCGTCTTCTTCACTTCGGCAGAGTAGATTTCACTGCCGACGATGGGGCAGAATGGGACCTTGGTTCCCAGTTCCTGCGATACGGCAAGAGCGAGAGCTGTCTTGCCCGTGCCAGGACCACCGGCCAAAAGCACGGCACGGCCAGCCATCTTCTTCGCCTTGATCAGATCAACAACAACACCGCATGCCTAATGGGAAAAGATTCCGCTTGTGTCAGCCAACGATGTGTTTGAACCGGAGCAAGCAGAGAAACAATAATTCTTGTGCACAAAAAAGAAGGGGATTTGGCGTCGCATACCTCACGGGCAGCACCTTGTCCAACAAATCCATCGCCAGTTGTCTCTGCGGTTCCGTCTGGCCGGAGACCGAGGCCCTTAATGTGCGTGTGCGCTGCGGTTCTGTTCTCGCGCGAATTGCCCTTCACTTCACTGATCTGGACCATGGTGAAGGGATTGCGACCTTACTCGGAAGGCCACAGAGGAAGCGAACGGAAAAGTCGAGGGGTTGGGATTGAGGATTGAGAAGATGAGCTGCAAAGAGCTGACGGTACGGAGCACAGAAGTAAGGACGATGGGTTCAGGAGGAATGAAGAGAAACAAATTGTTCGGTTTTGGTATGGATGATGCTGAGCAACTGCTTGCTTGCTTGCTTGCTGAGCGGAAATTCCGATCGATCAATCAGAGCGGCCTGTGTCCAAGGCGGTCAGCCGCAACGCCCAAATTCTTTCTCTCCTACTCCCGCCGGAAGTGCGTCCAGGCCTTGTCGATTATCGCCCAGCAGCTTGAGATCTCTCCCTCACTCCTCAATTGGCCGAATTCGCCATCGATTTGTCCGGCAGTGACTCTGTCATGGTCAAGAGCTGAATCTTACACTTCAATTCACAGACAGAATAAAGGATGACGGGCCTACAGACTCGCTCGGCCATGTCTCTCCCCTTCACCCTCTCTGCGGCCTTTCGCAACCTTTCCCTCAACACCGCGAAGCGGTCCTTCTCCACGACACTGCCTGTACAGAAGACGCGAAAACTTCCGGACCATATCCCACCGTACCCGTACGGCCCCAACTATGTCTTCAAGCAGTCCAACTCCGGTCTGTATGCCGGCGCGATGATCCGATTCGGCAACAAGATCTCCGACGGCAAGAACGAAGGCAAGACCCGCCGATCCTGGAAGCCCAACGTTCGCCGCAAGAAGATCTGGAGCGAGAGTCTTGAGAAGTTCCTGTTCATCAAGGTGACGAAGAAGGCACTAAGGACGATCGAGAAGTGCGGCGGACTCGACAACTACCTCCTGGGCAACAGCCCGGCACGGATCAAGGAGCTGGGTATCTTCGGCTGGGAGCTGCGGTGGCAGGTGATGAACTCGCCCAAGATGCAAGAGAAATTCGAAATGGACAGGCTGCTCTTCAACATCGAGAAGCCTCAGACCTTCGAGGAGTTTGTGGCGCAAAAGGAGGCCGAGAGAAAGAAGGCGGCGCTTGATCTGACGAATATCAAGAAATTGACGAAGCCTACGCTCAATGAGAAGCAGTACTGAAAGGGGACACAAAGGATTGAAGTCTTGAATCTTGGGCTTGGAACCGTCTCGAAGCATCCGAGGTTCAAGACCAGGGGATGAGAACGTCTGTTGTATTATATCTATTTGCGATCGTGGTCGACAGTCTTGCGCAGGCAGTGTCAGTGGAGTACCTCTATCTTCCTGACTGCTCGTTGAAGAGAAACTCTATGGCTGTCTGGCTTTGATTTTCTTGCATTGATTACCATGGACTTGCATGTTCCGATTTTTGTTTGTTGTATTTATACTTCATATCACCTTGGCCAATGATATTAGAATTTGACTACTGGTCATCGAGCAGGGGCTTTCTTTAGCTGGTGAGGCGTACAAGAACGAGCTGGTGTCTTTAGTACAGTCCTGTCCAGTACATCGTAGCCAAAAGAGTCATGAGTGACGCTTGGCTCTACAAATCAATCCTGCGTCACTCAACGAACCTGACTCGGGCTTGTCTTGGGGCTATTAATATCTCTGGAAAGCACACATACTTAGGACGGACTTGCTCGGGCCCTCTGGAATGTTGCGATATCTCGGGCCAACCCAAGGCCCGCGGATTGATAGCCGGAAGCGGCAGAACAGCCCCATCTCTATGCGGTGACGCTTTGTCCGACCAAGTACTCGTACTTAGAAACCATCCAGCTTCTCCTCCAACGAATCTCTTCCTCACCAGTCACCCAGCATTCGCTCGCTGGGGACAGATTCTGCCAGCATGCAGTTCGCCTTACCTCCACGGAGGGCTCCGATCACTCCTGTGTACGGCCGATCCTCGCGATTCTCGTTACAGCGCAGGAAGCAGCTCAAAGCCATTGCCATCCTCGCCTTTGCGCTCCTCACCATATTCTTCCTCCTCTCCCAATTCTTCTACACAAGTACTGGCACCCCTGCAGTGTCCGCGAGCACTTCTGGGGTAGTCATCGTCACAGTGTTAGATCGGGTCGGCTTCAGCGAAGATTACATCGAGAAGATTGTCAAGAACCGGGAGGACTACGCAAAGCGTCATGGTGAGTAGTCGTGGCCCCGGAGAGGACATGGCGTTTGACACACGATTACTACCACTTTGTTGCACTACGACTGACAAAAACGCATTCGCTGCCAATCAGGGTATACAAATTTCTTCGCCAATGTGTCTGACTACGAATCCTCGATCGGCGACTCGCCGCAGAGCTGGGCGGTCATCCCCGCCGTCCGGCATGCGATGGCATCCCACCCTTACTCGCAGTACTTCTTCCACCTCGATGCGCACGCCCTGATCATGAACCCGAGCAAGTCGCTGGGGTCGCATGTCCTAGACAAGCAGCGGCTCGAGTCGCTGATGCTCAAGGAGGTCTCCGTCGTGCCGCCCGACAGCATCATCAAGACCTTCTCACATGTCCACCCCGAAGACGTCGACCTGATCATCACCACCGACAATGAGGACATGAGTCCCGGGAGCTTTGTGCTACGGCAGGGCGATTTCGCCAAGTTCTTCCTTGACTTGTGGTTCGATCCCCTGTATCGGAGTTATAACTTCGCGAAGGCGGAGACGCATGTGTTGGTAAGGACTCTGTTGCGTCGTTCTTTTCTTCTCTGCTTTTTCTCTGCTTCGGCTCGCTCTTCCTGGACTTTCTGCAAAATTTGTGTCACCGTAATGATTCTGACTCACGTCATCGTTTCGCTCTCTAGGATCACATCGTCCAGTGGCATCCCACCATCCTCGCCCGGTTGGCGCTCCTGCCTCAGCGAACCATCAACGCCTACAGCAAGGATTGCTCGGCGGCAGCGGCGAACGGCATCTACAAGGACGGCGATCTTGTCATCCGGTTCCTTGGCTGTAACACTGATACGAAGCGGAGCTGCGAGAAAGAGATGGAGCCCTACTACCGCCTTTGGCAGACGAAAATGAAGATTGAGTGAACTCCGTTCACTCCAACTAGTTTTTTATTTTTACTTTTCCTTGCTGGAATTTGGAGTTTTGTGGCTGTGGGTTTGAGGGGAGTACGAAACTGTCTTTTCTGTTTTTACTGGTTTATTCTTCCAGGTGTTCTCTGGAGTTTCATGAGGATGCACCACATAGAGCGAGCGCGTGTATTATTATAGGTTGAATCTGAAATACTGCCTCTTTTCATTTTTTTTTTTTCGCATCAGGAGACCTTTAAGAGCACCAATTGCGACATTTAGACTCGATGTAGCGCACCGATGTCACGCGGAGCGAGTGTCAGGTGCGATAGGGGGAACTAGGTTGCCGGTGGATTTTCCAACCACTGATTTTAAGCTTCGTGACTTTGTCTCATCCATTCGTCGGTTTTGATTTTTCGTAACTGTGAGGTTGTTGAATAAGGGCGAAACCATGTTCTTCATGACGTGTGACTTCTTTGGGGGAGGAGAGTCCACCAAACGATGTGTTTCCCTCCTCACCCCCTCCTCCTTTCCAATAACTCTTATCACCCGTTTCACTAACTCTAAACGAGGCCAGGGAAGAGAGCAAAGCGCTTGCGCTTGTACTTGTCGCCGAACTCCTTGCGGTAGCGACGCTCCTTCTTCTTGGCCCAGATGGCCATCTGGGCGGAGCCGACGACGAGGAACAGGAGGACGCTCCAGCTGAGGCCGCTGAGCAGGTAGATGCCGACCCAGGCGACGATCTCGAAGAAGTAGTTGGGGCAGGTGACGACGCTGAAGCCGAAGCCGGCGGGGATGCCGCGCTCGGTGGTCCCGGGCCGGCGCAGGTCGCGCAGGATGCAGTGGGCGTTCAGGTTGGCCAGCTCGCCGAAGGCGAAGAGGGCCAGGCCCGTGTACCGCAGGAAGGCGTCCCCGTCGCGGGCGACCGCGGGGCTGTCCGGGCGAAAGACCCAGTAGGCGATGTTGGCGCCGGCCAGGAGCCAGTAGTGACCGCTGTTCTTGAGGATGTTGCGCGCGGGCATCGTGGCGTTGCTGAAGCGGTGGATGAAGATGGTCTCATACTCGCGCTTGATGAAGTGGACCGTCAGGAGGGCGCAGACCAGGCGTTGGAAGTTCGAGGGCTCCGCGAGCGGCTGGTCGAAATTGTAGTAGATGTACGGCCGGAGCGGGTAGAGGAAGAGGTAGGGGATGATGAGCGGGCCCAGGTATTCGATGAGGTAGACGGTGCGCCATCCTAGTTGAGGGCCTGGATAGTGAGGGGAGATGAGGTTAGTGTGATTCTATTTGAAGTAAAAGGCTGGGCATACCAAGGTCCTTGACGTGGATCACGCTCTTTTCCTTCAGGCCGGTGCCATCGACGGTCAGGTCCTTGGAGTTGGGGACGAGCGTCCGGTCGCTTCCCTTGGTGATGCGGAGGCGGTGGATGGAGAAGTTCGAGGCTTTGGCCAACGCTTGGTAGATTTCCTCGGTCGAGGCATCGGGCGCTACTTGAAGCTCCTTGGGGAGCTTTCTGATGGGTTTACCTGGAGAGAAGTGGTGTTAGTTTGGCAGGGGTAGGTGGAAACGGTTGGGAAAAGGACTTACCCCGGGGCTCAACAACTAATGTTATCGCCATTTGGAACGAGCTGAGGGGGGAGCGAGTTGGAGATGGAGCGCTCTGCTGATAGCGATTAATGGCTACCAATGACGATGGATTGTTTGATGGGAGGTTCTAGGATGTGATGGAAGGCTGTGAAGCTTAGTCCAGGATCCAGGTCTGATGCCGGACATGCGCGAAAATTACCCTAACTCTTGGTTTTGGTTGAGGAAGAATAATAATGGGACCTTTTGCTGCACTGCACTGAGCTTACCGCGCTTACTCGACTGGGTAAGCTCAGAGCCTCGGCTTCCGGCGGACGGGAACCATCACGTGGCAGACCGCCCTCAGCCGCATAACGAAGGGCATTATTGGGGGCTGGAGACCAAAAGAGGTTGTGATTCTTATGAATTACACTATGTATAATACAGAGTGGATTCATGATCATTATGATTAATTTATGGCCCACCATCTTTCAGCTGAAGGAAGCTTGAAGGATCCCCGGGCCGAATTCGGATGGAACCTTCACTCGTATTGTTTTCGACTTTTCCATGCACAGCCTGAGTCAGGTGTCCTGCCTGAGAAAAATGGTAAAGCAAGGCTGAACGAACGAACGAAAAAACGATGGCACCATCCTCCGGGACCATGTGATAACTACTAGGTAACTGACTCGGCAGGAGACAACAGACACAGTCTAGAATATCGGCCTGGATGAACACCCTTTGACCCGTTGATTGTCCTTCCACACATGGCGCCTCGCTTTGAATGTCCAGCCGAGAAAAGGCATTGAGCCATTGACATTATCATCATTAGGCTAAGCTTGCGTCGGGCTAGCGTCCCGAAAATCAAATAGTGTCGCAGTTAGTGTCGGCCTGTCAGCCAGCCTTTCGTCTCTTCTCCATCGGCCGTTTAGCACGTTTTAGCAACTTGGAACCATTTTAGTGTCAGGCGTTCCCCGGCACTCTCAGCACCATCCCTCAAATGGCAATCCTCCAATTGATAACCACAAGTAATCAAAAGCAAACAGGTCGCTACGCGCACTTGTCCATGTGTTGCTGCTCAGCACATCAAACCTAGGATTGATTTCACGGGTCAACGGACTCAACTGAGTTTCCAAACCGTCCACAATGTCATTGACAGTCCCTCATCCAAAAAATATCACATCGTGGCTATCAATCACCCAAAGGCCGGCTTTCCATACCTACGAAGTATCAACCTAGAATTTGTCTGTCTGTGCCACCCGAATGGACGACTCGAAAGCTCCAGCTGCACAATTTGAACTCACTTCTCATCGGCTCACTAAAGTAAGAACTTAACCTAGTCTAGAAGCGACCTCTTACGAGTTCTCCACGCTCTCTGCATCGCCGCCCTGATAGGGGCCCCTCCCTCGGTCTTTACCGGTCCCCTCCATCATCTAGACCATGGCGCCTTTTACCTTTGATGTCCCGCTAAGGCACCTCTGATCACGGCCAATTTGTCTGTCAGCTCAGCGTGGCGTAAATCCCAGCTGGAACAGCGCTCATTTGTCCTCATGTCTCATACATACGAATCACACTGCCGTCGGACTAGCTCTCCTCACGGGGCATTCTTCGCCTAGACAGATGCCAATGCCTCTCAAGCCGTAAATTTCTTATTCGCTCGTATCGGGGTCGCCGACTCCCTCTCTCCCCACAGCCACCATGCTGATACTGATCCAATCCTATAAATGAGCATGCGTTTCCCCCTTCTCTTACCGATCGCATTTGCTTGTCGATGGTCAACCTGTCACGCACAGATACTTTTAGTTGTTGGCTTCTGAAGCCTGTGCGTTTAGGCTTTAGTGCACTGTTTACCGTGCCTGGTTCGGTTCTCCCCGCATTTGGCAGTGCCTCCACATTCTTCGGTGCAATTGCTTGGTTTCTCTTCCCGGATTTGTTTTCAACTACCTGGTGAGCCACATTGTCCCAATGCGTCTCGTTATTCTCGTACTTTGGGGCAAGCCGGCGAGCATATTTCTTAGGATCCCCGGAATGGCTCCGACGGATCAATTGGGATGAGCCAGCAATGGCACATTCTTGTTGGCCTGCTACATTCCAATGAAAAGCAATCACTAACAACCAGCACAGTGTCAAAATATTACCAGATTGTATACTAAGAGGCTTAATCTAGCCCGTCATGGCTACCAAGCAGGAGAAATCGCTCCTGAACGGTGTTGGGAGCAAGATCTCCCAGGTCGAGAAAGTCATTTCAGCATCCTTACGGCCATTGCCTACTACAACGGGCGATGGGACATACGTCACAGAGCAGGTGCAGACAGGCTTTGTCAAGGACCTTGGCCATGTGGACCTTGATAACATCAAGGCCATCTTGGAGATTGTTAAGGATACTGCAACAGGCGAGCCGCTCAATGACAGACACTATATTATGGAGCGAGTGATCCAAGTCAGTGGTCTAGTTTTTCATTCGGATTAAGCCCTTCTAACCCTTGTTTAGCTCGCTTCCGGTCTGCCCTCAACCTCCCGAAATGCGAAAGCCTTGACAAATACTTTCCTCAAACAACTATGGAACGATTTGGAGCATCCGCCAATCTCGTAAGTTGATTGACAGGAACGGAGACTATGTATTGACCACGAGATTGACCGTATTTGTAGCTACCTCGGTTCGGACCACGTATACAGACAGGCGGATGGTTCAGGCAATGTATGCAGTTCCAACCATATTCTGAAGAATCCTTCACTAACGAATCAGAACTTCCTATGGCCTCACATTGGTGCCGCTGGTTCCCACTATGCTAGATCTGTACGCCCAACAACAGTACAGTCTCCTTCTCTTCCAGAGCCCGAGACACTTTTTGCCTCTCTCTTGGAGCGAAAGGATTACAAGGAACATCCGAACAAGATCTCCAGCATCTTGTTCTACCTTGCTTCCATCATCATTCATGGTAAGGCTGAAAAACCGAGATGCTTTCCAGGTAATTAGCTGACAGTTCTTGAGATCTTTTCCAAACCGACCGCAATGATTATACTGTGAGCTTGACATCTTCTTACTTGGACCTGTCGCCGTTATATGGCAACAACCAAGACGAGCAGAATCAGGTAAGGACATTCAAGGACGGAAAACTGAAGCCGGATTGCTTCTCCAGCAAACGTATTCTGGGCTTTCCTCCAGGAGTCGGTGTTCTCCTGATCATGTTCAACCGCTTCCACAACTACGTCGCTGAAAACTTGGCTACTATCAACGAGGGCGGTCGTTTCACCAAGCCGGATGAGTCGAATACCAAAGCATATGCGAAGTACGACAATGACCTCTTCCAGACTGCTCGACTGGTGACGTGCGGCTTGTATATCAACATTATCTTGAAGGACTACGTTCGTACAATCTTGAACATCAACCGAACGGACAGCACCTGGAGTCTGGACCCTCGAGCAGAGATGCAGGATGGACTTCTTGGCGAGGCACCAGCGCAAGCCACCGGTAACCAAGTTTCTGCTGAGTTCAATCTCGTGTACCGCTGGCACTCTTGTATCTCCAAGCGGGATGAGAAATGGACGCAGGATATGTACCGCGAGTTGTTCCCGGGGAAAGAGCCGGAGGAGATCTCTCTGCGAGAATTTCTGCGGGGCGTGGGTCAGTGGGAAGCTCGTCTACCAGAGGAACCTTCTGACCGCCCGTTCGCTGGGCTACAGCGCAAGGAAGACGGATCGCTGGACGAAGGTGAACTAGCTAAGCTTTTTGCAGACAGTGTTGAGGATTGTGCGGGTGCCTTTGGGGCATCGAATGTTCCTTCCGTCTTCCGCAACATCGAAGCCCTGGGTATCATGCAGGCCCGTTCCTGGAACTTGGCCACGTTGAACGAATTCCGAAAATACTTCAACCTCACGACCTACAAGACATTTGAGGAAATCAACCCTGACCCTTACATTGCTGGTCAGCTCAAGAGGCTGTACGAGCATCCCGACCTGGTTGAAATCTACCCGGGCATCATTGTGGAAGACACGAAGGAATCTACTATACCTGGAAGTGGCCTGTGCACGAACTACACGATATCGAGAGCTATCCTCTCCGATGCCGTAGCTTTAGTCCGTGGTGATCGCTTCTATACAGTGGACTACACGCCAAAGCATCTGACGAATTGGGCATACAACGAGATTCAGTATCAAGATACTGTTGATCAAGGGCATGTCTTCTACAAGCTTGTCTTACGTGCATTCCCCAACACATTTGCTGGCAACTCTATATACGCTCATTTCCCTCTCGTTGTTCCATCCGAGAATGAGAAGATTTGCAAGGATCTTGGCCGGTTTGACGACTACAGCTGGGATCGGCCCAGCCTCACCCCGCCTCCACAGTTCATCTCCTCGAATGCCGCCTGCATGGCTATTCTGAGCGATCAAGAGACTTTCAAGGTTACCTGGGGTAAGAAGATTGAGTTCCTCATGCGTCACAACAATCAGCCTCACGGCCGGGACTTTATGCTGTCCGGAGACAAACCTCCGAACGCTGCGTCCCGGAAGATGATGGGAGCAGCCCTCTATCGTGACAAGTGGGAGAGCGAGGCTAAAAAGTTCTATGAGAACATCACCTTGAAACTTTTGCATCAGCATTCGTATCAGATTGCCGGTGTCAACCAGGTTGATATTGTTCGCGACATTGCCAATCTCGCGCAGGTTCATTTCTGCGCGAATGTGTTTTCATTGCCCCTCAAAACCGAATCGAACCCCAGGGGGATTTTCACGGAACAAGAACTTTATGAGATAATGGCTCTTGTATTTGCGTCGATTTTCTACGATGCCGATGTTGGGAAATCGTTTGAGCTCAATCAGGGTGCTCGGAGCGCAACACAGCAGCTCGGAGAGCTGACAATGGCCAATGTCGACTTCGTTAGGAATACCGGCTTCATTCAGAGCCTGGTCCACAGTCTGCATCGGCATGATATTCTGAGCGAATATGGTGTGCACATGATCCAGCGTTTGCTCGCGAGTCAAATCTCCCCGACTGAGATTGTTTGGACGCACATTCTGCCGACTGCGGGCGGAATGGTTGCCAACCAAGCCCAGCTCTTCTCGCAATGTCTTGACTACTATCTGTCCGAGGAAGGCTCTGTTCATCTGCCAGAGATTAATCGACTTGCTAAGGAAGACACCCCTGAAGCTGATGATCTTTTGCTGAGATAGTAAGATTCTCTTAAGACCGTACTTCAATTCTGGTACTAACGGACTGTTATAGCTTCATGGAAGGCGCTCGTTTGCGCTCTTCGGTAGCCTTGCCTCGTTACGTGGCTAAGCCCACGGTGATCGAGGATGCCGGGAAAAAGCTGGCATTGAAGACCGGCCAGCTGGTTTATTGCAACTTGGTATGTGAATCAAAATGATGGCTTGGTGTGGAGTTTCATGGAGTGCTAACATTGCATAATAGGTCGCCGCTTCAAGAGACTCCGTCTGCTTCCCGGAGCCTGAAACCGTTAGGCTTGACCGCGACATGAGCGCATATGCTCACTTCGGATGGGGCCCTCACCAATGCCTCGGAATGAGTCTCTGCAAGCTTGCGCTCACAACCATGTTGAAGGTTGTAGGACGTTTAGACAACCTCCGACGTGCTCCTGGCCCCCAGGGCCAGTTGAAGAAGATTCCAAGCCATGGAGGCATAACCATTTACATGACTGCCGATCAGAGCAGCTTCTGGCCCTTCCCTTCGACCATGAAGATTCAGTGGGATGGAGAGCTACCGCCTCTTGCTGCGAACTAAGGAGTCGGCGGGTGGACGGGTTGGCACAAGTATTTTAGCGTGTATATTAATGTGTTGGATTAGCCTATCTATATATGAATCTCTTTTTACTTCTATCTTTGTCTTTTTCCAGCTCCAAGGGCTTGGTTTCTTAGTACATCATAAATGATGAGAGATGTGGTGGAACCGATTCCTTTGCATGGGTTGATGCATGGCATTGTTTGTATACAGATATCTGCTAGAGAGATGAACAGTGTCAATATTCATTTGTGCTGGATGGGTTTTTCAAACTCACAAGGCTTATGAATAATGTGTTATTGGATATGGGATGTTCTCTTCATTGCTTCTAAGCGAGTTTTGAATGTTGTATAGTACAAATGAAGCTGCGGCAGGAAGTATATATCACAGGACAACTATAGTGGTAGAGATGGATTATGAGACATTGTGTGGTTACCAGTAAAGACAAGCAATCAGACTGATCGAGGCATCATCGAGTCTTACTGAAGCACTCTGCCTTAACGCCTTGTTTCCCATATGAGGCGTCACAAAAGTCGAACATATCCATTCACTGTACTTGTACGTACTAGGTAAGGTAGGAGTCGGGCCTTAAGTAGGCTCTGATGCAATAACACTGGCAGCGGGGAAAGAAGAAGACCCGCTCCGGACGCTTCAACCGCGAAAGTAAGAGGTAAGAGCGTGCTAACTAAAGAGAACCGCCCGCTAGAGAAGCTCCCGTCCAGTCCATCATCGGCATAATTTCACGAACCTTCCAGCTGCAAGCAACACCCGACGACTCACTTCCTCCTCCACCTCCTCCTCACCCTCTTCCTCTCACCCAGTACTCACACCCCACCTCCCTCTTCTCTCTCCCTCCCATCCACAACTTACTCTACTTCCTACTCTTTCATCAAGGCGAGGACTCGATTTTCTTTCCTCTCCCGATTGTTTGAATCCTCTAAATCGAGATTGAAATTTCAGGGCAGCGCCTGCACCGTTCCCTGTCATCCTTGATCATCGCCAGCGGTACAGTAATAACGCCGCTATCCTCAATCCTTACCTTATCTTCTTCCACTTTCTCCAACCATATAACCTTTCCGATCGGGAAAAGTCCTTTGCATTCTACCAACTCGAGCACTCCGGGTCTTTTCCTTGACCGCTTCACTCTTTGGTTTGCTTGAGGCAGAGAGCCGGGAAAAAAACGTCATAAGTCTTTCTCGCGACTTGATCCGCGACCCGGTCTCCACGACCACCCCTCCCCCCCTCCACCCTCGTACAGAGGAGTCTCTCGAGTCCTTTACATTTCCTCATGACCGCCGGTCCTCACAATCGTAATCATGGGGAGAATTAAAAAGGTCGCGAGCCAGAAACATGAAGCTACGATCGTGAGTTCTTCTCGCTCCAACCCCGCGTGCCATCGTTGTTGATGTGAAGGCTGACTGAAAAATTTTCTCGCTCTCGGTGCGTTTAGTCGCCATATCTAGCAGAATTCATCACTCGTGCTACGACTATATCGATTCCCGAGCTCCCGTCACATCTCAACAGCTTCTCTCGTCTATGGCCATTTCCCAGAGGCGACTTATACCACTGGATCAACGTTCTCAACCGATTCGATGAGATTCTTGCATCTGTAATTGAGGCGTATAATCTTCATCAAGGCCCGCAGACGAAATCTTTCAGCAGAGAGTTCTTGGTGCAGTGCTCCGCGACAAATGAAAACGGCGGAACTCCGGAGGATGTCGATGCCAGGTTGGATGCTCTGCAGTATGGCCCAGAAGGAGACAGGGAATTACTGGAAGTGATCATCGATTTCTCCCGACTCTTGCTGGAGAAGTGTGGCAACCGCAGTCTGTATGGTAGTAGTGAGCGCCTTGGGGATCTTCTCAACACCACATCGCCTTCTCTCCTCCAGTCAACCCTACGCCTATCGCTCTGCCTGGCACAGAGGTATCATTCACGTCACCGAGGTGGCTCCCATCTCCAGCAGAGCTTGCTAGCAGCACACTACAATATCGACTTAGAGAAACTGCAGAAAATTGCCGCCCCGTTCCCTCGTCCGACTGGGGTGTCGCCTGCAGCAGCAGTCAAGACGAAGGAGAAGGGATCCCAGACTAAACACAACGCCAACGATCTGGTCACGCTGACTCGAGAGAACGACAGCTGGGATGAGTGGGGACATGTTCGCTTGCTCTATTATCCGTCCGGACCATCGGAGCCAGCGAATGCGTTGTTCGAGCCCGGTAATAGCGGCCCTTTGGTGCAACCTCCCACTACTCCAACACCTCTGCGTAGAACTCATACTCACCCCACCCCACGCTTGAGTCGTCTGTCCACAACCGACGACTCACCCAGTTCTGTGATCGCGACTCCCGCAAAGCCAGACGAAGCGCTACGGGGCGGCACAAATCTTGAAATTCCCTATTCTAAGATCTCATCATCCAAGGCCGAAGATCTTCTTGCCACTTATGTGGGAGAGGTACCGGATGACTCCAAGTATGAATTGCTGCACAGGATTCGCACTGCTCAGGGATTGGCAACGTCACGGGACAGCAGGGAGCAGATACTGGCCATTCGGATCCTTGCCCTCACCAACCTGGCCTATGTTTACCCCGAGCCGCTATTCCAGCAAAAGATACTTCAGTATGATATGGAACAACCCAAGCGCCTTCAGCTTGCTTTCCAATTGGCTGAACTTGTTCATCTTGGGGCAAGTGGTGATCTGAAAGTCTCACGGACTGTGCAGACATTGGCACTCCAGGCGCTCGACGCCCTTGCGAAACACAAGGCTCGTGCTATTGACGTCTGTGCTGCTTTGAGTGTGAATGTGAACCATGGTGTCTTGATGTTCCTCACCCGGAAGGTTGTCAATGAGCTGGGCTCCGAGGACAACGAGCAGGATGAGGGTAGCCAGGATGAGTGGCGGGATGCTTTGCTTGCCTTATTGCGGACGTTGCCCGGGTCAAGTACTAGGACTCCTGAGACTCTTGTTTCCGCCGGGCTGATCCCAATGTTCGTGGATGTTCTGAAGCTACGAACTGAGAAGGCTCGTCGAGTCTACTCCAGGGTAATGGAATTCTTGGATACCTTCGTCCACGCAGTTCGTGATGCACTTGGTACTCTTACTAGTTCGAAGGGATTTGATGCAATCTCAGACTTGATCGATCATGAAACCAAATCTTCTTTCGAGCATGTAAAAAACGGAAATGGACTCCCCCCGCAACACAAGACACCATCTATCGACTATCAGATCCCTTATTTCCAACAGCAGACCCTCCGTTGGATGTTTCGTTTTGTCAATCATATCATGCAACATAATGGTGGTGGATTCGATCGTGTTCTTCGGAATCTGATCGACTCGCCTCAGCTGCTGACATCCTTGCGGCTTGTACTTGAAAATGCCCGGGTGTTCGGCTCTCATGTTTGGAGCAATGCGGTCAACATTCTCAGCAGCTTCATTCATAATGAGCCCACTAGCTACGCGGTCATTGCTGAGGCTGGACTCAGTAAAAGTCTACTGGAAGCTGTGACGTTCTCTGAGCTGAAGGTCGCCGAGAAGCCAGCAGCTGAACCGGAGAATGTTTCCACAGAAAATGAGCCCTCGACGACTGCGAGTACTGGAACTTCTGAACCTACAGCGACCAAGGATAAAGCCCCTCGCGTCTATAGCATCGCACGACCGAAAGATGTACAGCTGGCACCTGGGATAATGTCTGCTGCAGAAGCTCTTTCTTGCGTGCCTGCTGCGTTCGGAGCCATCTGTCTAAACTCATCAGGATCGGATTTGTTTCAGTCTTCCCATGCGCTGGAGAGTTTTTTCGAAATCTTCGAGAACCCGGAGCATGTGAGATGCTTGAAAGACGACCCGAACCTGGTCCGCTCCTTGGGTACTACTTTTGACGAGCTCGTGCGGCACCATCCAGCTTTGAAGTCCCATGTCATGACTGCAGTCATTGTCATGGTCGCCCGTGTGGGCCTCCTCTGCAAAACTAAAGCTTGGTCACATGGTTTGGGAGCAAAACTTTGGACGGAAGACCAGCAAGGCAAGCAAGTCCTTGCAGGATCAACTTCTCATTTGTTGAACGCAATCGGAGTTGAGAGTCAGGATTCTTCTAACGCTCAATCTTCGCTTGGGATTCCCCAACTCAACTCCGACTTGCTTCCGAATGGTGGAAAGCTTCAGATTGGCGATCTAAGTCAAATTCTGCCCTCTTCGGACGGACAACTTGAGCCCAAGAATGTAGATAATTCAGGGCTCACGGCTACTGACTACCTTTATCCTGTTGTTCGTTTCTTGGGGGCCTTCTTTGAGAACCAAGCTAACTGCACATACTTCATCGAGTCTGGTGCCGCGGAGTTCATTCTCGACTTCGCAACCCTACAGAGCCTTCCCTTTGATTTCCACAACACGGAAGCCAATCAGGAGCTTGCTGTTCTCGTGCATATGTTAGCAGAAACCAAACCTCATGTGGTCGTACCGTCTCTTTTGCAGCGGACCGAGCGGGCCGTTGACATGCTCGCGGAATTCTGGCAGAAGCCCGAAAACCTCCACAACGGCTTCTTTAGTCCTTTGATCAAACAGTCGTCTCAGCCTGGGTCGGAGGATAAAGGCAAAGAAACACTTTCCCCCGCATTGACAGATGGAACGTATCTTGCTAAGCACATGGGGGCTGCACTTGTTTTGACTGACTTCCTTCGCGAGATTTTCTCCATGCCCCTATATCAATCCCGCCCCAGTCTACAGCTTCCGATTTTTGTCCAGGTGAACCTAGCTGACCATTACTGCTCGCTCGTAAAGAAACTGGGGGGATTGCATGCTGCTTGCGTTTGGGAGGAGATTCTGCTTGAGAAGAACATACCTGATACTTGGGATCAGGCCACGAAAGTGCAACAGTCTGGTGCTACTTCTGAGAAGCCCGCCGATGCTCAATTGCAGCCAAACTCTGATGCTGTACTTGTTTCTAGCGGTGAATCCCAACGGGAGGGCTCAGCTGCAAGCGACGCCGCTCAGGCAGGTGCCGTGCAAGAGGCGAAGCCGAATGCATCCAAGGTGCCTGAAACTGGAGTCGCCTTCACGAATGCACAAGCTCTGCGATACCTCTTGAGTTCTTTGCCTTCTTCTATCACGGGATTCTTTCACAATCTGGGTCTCGGTCTGAGCGGAAAGAAGAGATATGATGCCTACCAGAAACAGAACGCAACTTCAGTGGCTGAAGAGATTGCGCAAGCTGTGCTCGAGCAATTGCGATTCCAGCCTCCAAAATCAAGCCAGAGCTCGAAGCTGCGTTTTGCTTACCTCATTGTCATACTTTCTTCCTTCTCGCATCTGCTTTATGAGGGTGAGTAAATATGGTCATTAAGATATTGCCCCTTGACGACATAATAACTAATCATTCTTGTTTTTCATAGTCA